AATTACAAAACTAAATACAAAAGGTTAGAGGATATACCAAATCGGAACTTCATTTAAAAATATACAAAAAGTATATTTTAAATTATAATTTAATAATATTTATACAATTAAAAATATAACTAATTTTTTTAATTGATAAAGTAATTCCTTCTAAATATATAATACATTTACATGTTTAAGAACTACACTCAAAATCATTATGTTAAAGGAATCTATATCAATTGATTAACATGTTAGATAATTAACTACAATTGATTTCTATTTTTTATTAATATTAAATAATAAAAGTGAAAGTTGAATGAATGTGAATTAATGATATAATAATTTTACAATAAAAATGAAATGAACAGGAAGAGGACCACAGGCGATGCACAATATGTATATGCATAGGGCCATGTCAGAGTGGATCGTCATCATATTGATAAGTATTCAGTAGCAAAAACAAAGAAAACACTCTCTTTTCTCACTCCTCAGTTAGGGTCCTGACTGACTCTTCCGAACAAAGCAGACATGTCAAATCACTATTGGATAAAGGCTCTTCACTTTCTTTTCTTTTTTCTGAAACTCTCACTCTTTCTCTCTCCCTCTGTTTCTTACATTCCTCAGCATATGTGCAACACTCCATAAAGTTCCACATTTCCTTATCATTCTCATCCTTATTTTTTCTATATTTTTATTTCTACTTATTTACTAACAAGTGATTTCAGGTATTCATAATAAATTATAATAATGTATTTGTTAAATTATTAGAATTTTTAAAAAATTATTTTAAAAAATTATCTTATCTTTCTATATTTTGTCATCAAAAGAACAGAGTAACATGGAAGGACCTGTATGAAAATTGAAAGCTCCCACCATTGCTTACCGTGTGGGTGAGCTCACAGACACACGCTGATCTGGTTTTCGTGTGAGTTGGGGCAAGCTCGAAAAAATCAAATTTGCATTTCCTAAGCAATCTCTCCCCATCAAATGGGCAAAAAACAAACATTAAAATCAAATTTGGATAAAACAATACATTTAAAATAATAATAATAATAAAGCGTTGCTGTCTTAGAGGTTAGGTGTGAGGTTGCTTTCGCGAGGTTATATGTTATTTTATAATATTTATTGTTACAAAGTTTTAAAAAATAGTTTTTTTATTTAACTTATTTAAAGAGAATGAATGGGACCCATATTTTTTGGGTCTGACAGGAGAGCTTTGAGATGGACCCTACTCACTTTATAAGTGTGTTACAAAATTAGTAATCTTTTAAATGCTTATTTCCTATGATATTATCCTGCATATTGTAGTACATCACAATGGATTACCAAGGGACCCACTGTAATGATTGTGAATTATTTATGTTTAGTACATAATAATATCATATTTTACAACCAAAGAAATGTGCATAATTATCACAAATTACATGAATAAATATATTTTCATAAAATCTACACACACAAAATAAAATACATAGTTTTAAATTTAATTAAAATATATTAATAGCATCAAATTTTATATTATAATTTAATTATTTTTATATTTAAGAATATTTTCATTTTTTATATTAATAATACATTAAAATTTAAAATTATATTAAAGTTAGTGAAATTATACTTGTAATCTTTGTTATGTTCTTTTCTTATAACGTTACCGGACCCAAAAAAAATCACATAAAAATATATATTTTCTGAAATCTAAGACAAAGTACACAACAGACGAAAAATATATTATTGAGCCATTATCCAAGGACTTGTTTGTTTAAACAATAAAACATAACTTTCACTTTCTTCAATATAGAAGAGAATTTTGCTAAAGAAAAAACAAACTTACTTTAGCCAGACAGAAGTTGTGAACCAATAAACAAATAAGCTCTAAAGTGCTTTGGTGTGAAAACTTATACTACACCAATTTGACTGGAGTGCATAAATATGGTAATGAGTAGAGTACTCTCTAGTATTCATTTTTATATTTATATTTTAAAAAAATATTCATACCTAGTTTTATATTTGTATAGGTATGAATATTAATTTTTATAACTATACTTTTTGGATACTTGCATATCCATTTTATATTCATTAACTGCGTTTATTTAAGAAAAAAATATTCATAAAAAAAATATGTTTATATAATTTCACAAAAGTAGTATAATAATATAAAAATTCAATATGTAGTTACCGAATAAGATATAAATATAGATAAAAAATAAATATTCAAATATCACAAGTGTTAATGTATCTTAATACAATAATTTTCTAAACCAAAATTCTTAAAAACAATAAGTGAAACTAAACACACAAGTTATTTGTCTGCGATGATCCTATCTTATGTGAGATTCGATCGATCGGTAACATCAGAGCGACAACAAAATAGATTTGCATAATAGGTGGCCCTTCGTATGGGGTCACTTGGTGACCTCTTGTGATGACATTGACAACTAACTTTAATGAATAATATTTCATAGTTGGTATTTTTTAATGGAATAGAGAGTAGAATTAGGGCAAAAAAGTTCAAGTACTAACAATGAAAAGTGGATACATAAAATATTTTTTAAAACTTTTGAATTTGAAATCATAAAAAAAATAATAGATTTAATTATATATATATATATATATATATATATATTAATACTAGTATTTTTAACTCATGTACTATATGAAAGTATTTTATCAAAAATAAAAATTTTTAAAAAATTATTTTAATGAATTAAATATTTAAATGTATATAAATTTAAAAGAAAAATTTGAATAAAAGATAAATGGTCACAATAAAATTTTATAATAAAGAAATATATGTGTATATAAAAAAAATTAAACTTTTTTATCTGAAGAAAAAATTAACAAATAAGAATTAATAATAATTTTTTATATTTTATATTTTTTTTAAAACTTTTTTTAAACGTAAATAAATAATAAAAATAATATTATTTAGATTCAATAAATTATAGTTATACTTGTAATGCACATGTTGCATAGAAAAATATTATTTTAAATTAAAATATAAAAAATAAAATTTAAATATTATCAATAAATAATAAGTTTATGATAATAGTAGGTGATTGTAAAATTTATAAAATACTTACAATATGTTTATTATTTATCATTCATTTTATGATTTAAATATCAGTATAATTTTATTAACAAAAATATATATGTGAAAAATATTTTATATGTGTGTCATATATAAATAATATTTAAAAAAAAAAGTCAATCTCATATCAACTATGCAATAATTAAATTTTATTAGCCTAATTAAACGATATAAAATAGTAAATAAATTTTTCTATTAAAAATACAAACCAAAATAAATTTGTTGGTTTACTTTATTATTAAATATATTTTTATACTAATCTTATATAACTTCACATAAGTAATATAATAATACAAAAATTTAATACAAAGCTGTAAAATAAAGTTAAAGCATATATATATATATATATATATATATATATATATGTGTGTGCAGGTATGGGGCGGGTGAGTACTTAGATACCTATACCTGCACCCACACCCGTACTTAGATACCTATACCTGCACCCACACCCATATCTGTATCCATGTAGCAGGTACATACCTTATTTATTGTTGGTAAATTTTGTGGGTGCTAATTGGTATCTGTATCCATGTAGCAGGTACATACCCTATTTATTGTGGGTAAATTTTGTGGGTGCTAATTGGGTACTTTACTCATTGCCTTTTCTATGAGTGTAGGTGCTAAATAAAGAAAAAATATATATTATTTGTTTATTTTAAAATTAATTTTATATTTTTAAATATATATTTAAACTATATTTAATTATATATTGTGAATTTAAATATATCATATGAAAATTTAATTCCTAAAGCAAACAAAAATAAAAAATAACTATAATACATTTAAATTTCATTAAATGATAATAATCTTACACTCTTTATGTTTATAAATTTTTAAATATATTTTTATAATAATTTTTTATCTGTACAATATTATATAATATAAAAAATATATAATATTTTTATTAGAAATTATAAATTTTAATAAAAAATTATTATACATAATTTTGTACAATATTGCAAAATTAAAAAAAAAAAGTTTACTATGCATGTGGACTCGCATGAGATGGCATGTAAATTCATCTTTACTTTACAGGAGAAAGCATTAGCGTTAACAGATACTTGAGGTTAAATCACACACTTCCGTAGTCAAACACTTCCTTAGTCAAACTGTAGTCTTATTTTGATCATAGCGCTTCTGATCTTGATTTTGTGCAATTCATGGCACCTTCCCAGTGCAAGTCTAAGTAACCAAGTTACAACCCCAGGTCAGAGTCAATTTTTCATTACTTAAATTAACTTTAGATAGACTGTTTATTTTTAACTGTCTTTAAAAACTAAAATAAATAAATGATTATTCTTATGTAAAATAATCTGAACATTATTCCCTCATTTTGAGTATTTTTTTTTTCTGCTTTTTTATTGGAAACTGTGGATTATAATATATATTTACTGCCGCACGTTTATTTTTACCATGGGGGTTAAAAATTTTCCCGTTATTATTTTACTATACAAAATACATATTCTGAGTCTGAAAAATTAACACTACAGTACCATAAAAACATAAAATTAGGCATATTCTGTCAGGTTTCTTTTCTATGGCCTTGGCCCTTGGTTAGGTGAGGGAAAGGAGGAGTAGAGATTTTCACTTTTCACTTTTCACTTTTTTTTTTCTTTTGCAGTACTACAAAATTTTTAAGATAGAATAGTAAGAAATAAAAAAAATACTTTTCTAATAGTCTATTTTTAAGTGGTTTATTCTCAATTTTCCCAATACCCACGAAACTCGAGATACCACGGGCCTTCTTCCTTCCATCTTGCGTTTTGATCAGACCTCACCATGCCATATTTACTTTATGAACATTTTGGTTCAAATTTATTTCAATATAATCTTAATAAATATCATTACACAAGGAAAAAATTATTTAACTTGGATTTGCGTATCTAAAATGCTTCTTGATCTTTGTCCTCACAAAAGTTTAAGTAATTACTAATCTGGCATTCATGAAAAGATGAGAATATTTAAGAAAGAAAAGTTTCATCCTCCTTTGTCTCCTTACAAAGGGACCATAGCGTTGTAAGTTGTAACTCTACACCAAAAGAAAATTCTTAAGTTGAAAGTTCTAGGGTGTAAGTTAACTCCTCTCTGCACTTTCTCAATCATGAAACAAACCACTCTCCCGAAAAAAAGTAAAATAAAAAGTAATTACTATTCAAAACCAAAAAGAAAAATAAAGAAAATCCTGATCATGGCAGAAGCAGTGTACTGACATTTGGGAAATCGAAGCAAAAGAATCTCTCGGCGCCATGCATGCATCCTCAGGTGTTTTTTCAGTTTTTCTCAACTTTAGATATTTCTGAATTTCAACTATTTTATTTTATTACAGAGAATATAGTAGCTTCTTACAGTTACATTGTAACCCAAAAACAAAAGAAAAAGAAAAAGTTGCTTCTTACAAAGTTCCCCTTGCCAACAAAAAAACAAAAGAAGGGAAAGCAAATTAAAAAAAAAAAAACAGAGCCTTATCCGAAATTTTCTCTTATATTTTAAATTTTTAATTTAAATTAAAAAAAAAACAAAAATTTGTTCTAGGCCTTGTCCTTGAGGAGAGAGGCCAATCCGGTCACCACCTTAGCTCCTCTTTCAATGCTCTTCGGCTTCACCGCCGGGGGTTGCCATGCCGGGGCCATCACCGCTGACTCTGCCTTCTCTCCAACGAAATAACCCTCCAGCTCCTGCGGCGACGTTTTCTCGCCGAAAATCAGTTCCAACTCACCACAACCGCCCTCCGTCAACGCCGCGTCCCCATTGGAGGACTTTGTTTCCGGCACGGCGGCGACATGGACGGAGGAGGACGGGGGTTGCTTTGCCCTAACAGCAGAGGGAGAGAGCCACTTAGCGAGCATGTAATCGCGCTTCCTCCATGGCGGAACGTGCATCCCTTTTTTCTTCAAACTCTGCTTCGCCGCCTCCGACACGATCGATACGATTTGCCCTAACCTCTCCGATCTTCCGACGAAGATGAACGGCAGCGATTGAAGTATCGCCTTGTACGTCCCCGTCGATCTCGCAATCTCAAACTCCGATCGAAAATCCACATCAACGATCAACCTTTCCTCTTCCACAATCACATCGATGAATTCATATTCCCCTGAACCAAACACACACTCAGTCAAACACAAACTCAATTTCAAATTCAAATTCAAAGTTAATCATGACTGAACTTGAGAGGAATTTGGAAAGTAGAAAAAGTCAGGTAAAGGACCGTACCGGCAGGGCAAGAAGAGGTTTTATCCCATTTGGATTTGCAAACGGAGGAATCGTAGCCGAGGGACGAAAGGCCATCGGCTACGACCTTTCTAAAATCATCTTTTCGCTTGTACGACTTGCCGTTTTTCTCAACGATCCTCGCCACGTCAGCTAACAGGTTCCTCTCGCCGACGCTCGCGCAAAGAATCAAGCTCTGCAACAGTACCCCAAATTACGTTTAAATTAAATTAAAGTTAAAAGTCAAAGAGAATTTGTTAGTGGCATTTGTTCCACCTTCAGCGTTTCGGTAGCGTCGGTGATGGACGATGATTCGGTTCCGTTTCCGGCGGAAGGTTGAGCTCCGAAGAGGTCGCAATCGTCCTCGTCGGAGCTGTTGGCGTTGAAGCAGTTGCAGCGGTTGCGACCGCATTTCGGAGGCTGTGGTTGCTCCTCCATGAAATTCTGCACCATTTTGGCCAAGCAAACCGAGCTCGGCTCGAACTCTCCATCCTTGTTGTTCCTCTGTAACTGCCGATCGAACACGAACAATCTTCTCAAGCGTGATTTTAGCACCGACTCGTTCCGAACCACCACCGCTTCCTTCACTCTCTCTGATTCGATGTCGATCGCAATTGGTTGGATCTTCAAAGGTGCCATGCCTATGACCTCTCTCTCTCTCTCTCTTTCTATCTCTCTTTGTTATGCTAATTTCTCAGAGCTTCAAATTTCACTGACACATCACGGTTACAAGTCAAAATGGGAACCCAGTCAACACACATTCATCGATCCTACACCAGTCAATAACTCACGAATTTGGCATGTTCTTAAATGAAACGGGAAGAAAGGTTAGAAGGGGCAAAAAAGAGAGAAATTGTGTGTACTGGTTTCTTCTAGGCTAAGGGAGTGAGGGTTTCGAGGTAAGGGTTTTCGTGGAACACGTGGCGGCGGTGGTCAGAGAGACGGGCATTGTTCATCGACGGGGAAGTTAGCGTAGCCGGATTGTTCATTCTCCGGCGATGGAGGAACTAAAAGAGGAGATGTTTTAACTTTTTATTATGGTTTTGTTTGGTTTTTCTTTCGTTCTGGATTAGGTGACTGAGGGAGTTTGGGTTTTATAACGAGTAATGCCTGCTGACTTGGACGGGCTTGCCATGTGTCTTCCACGTGGCATCCGATTTTTGGACAACGTTCTTTGCTAAACGCACCCGCTTCGCATCGATGCTCTTCCCCCGGGGCGTTTCACTTGGCGACGCGTGGCGTGAATGATTGACTGAAATTACGGTGGAACCCTTTCCTGTGAAAAACATCTGCATTGCATTGATTGATTGATCATATCGCTTTCTTTATTTTTTTTAAAATAATTATGATGGATTTTAAATTCGGAAAGAAACAAAAACTAATGATGCGTAGGAGTGGAGAGATGGTGAACTTTATGGCGTGTGTGTGAAGTCCATGCTGTGAAAGATGTGTGCACCAAAAGCTATGGACGCGTGTAAGTAGATCTATGGCCCCAACAACTAATAAATTATATATATAAAAGATATTCAATTACATAGTATAAACACACTCTTATACTCTTAATAATTTCATAAATAATATAATTTTTATTAATCTAATTGTTTGAATCATAATTTTGTATTATTTTAATTATTTGTGTTCAAATTTTTAAAATTAAATATTATAAAATACAATCATGAGGTTTTTATTGTTATATAAAAATTAGATATTAAATAATTTTATATTTATTTAAAATTTTACAAACATAATTATATAATTAAAATTTTAATTTAACGGTTAATTTTATATAAAAAAACATGAATTTAGTTAGAAACGTCAACGCCTTTATTAATCAGGTATTTTTATGTGTATAACTATGATATTAATTCCCCGAGTCGAGCAGTTTTCAGAGTTACAATTTTGAGATATAAATTTTCAAATTTTAAGTAATATTTCTTTAGAATTACAGTTTGTTTATAGAATTTAATTAAAATATGTTAATATTAAATATAATGTAATGTTTAATACGGTGTTTAAGACACGAGATTAGATTATTTAATAAATTAATTTTTTAGTTGAGCTTTTTTATTTAAATCATATTATTTAGTGTTTTCGTTAAGAGTTTAGTTTAAAACTATTATCAAGTTAGTTTGATAAAGTAAATGCATAATTTTATAAGTTTGATATTGAGTAGAATACGATATTCTCTGGAATATTGTCATTTAATCATGAAAGTTTTTATCGCTATGTAAGGGTAGGCAAAATAGGCAATTGTTGAAGGCCAACTAAAATAAAAAGAGGGTAGAACAAATGTATTATTTGGATAAATAAAAATAATTAAATTTAGTAAATAAATAAAATATTTCCATTTACTTGAATGAACGAAAAAGAGTGTAACAAAACTATATAATTTTTTTTTACAATATAACAATAAATTAAAACATTTTACTATAATATTTTTTAAAAAAAATTAATACGTTACATAAGAAATTAATTAATATTAAAAATAAGCAAAATGAAAATTCCCATCTCCTTCCCTTTTCACTTCCTCCCATTTTAAGGGGAATTTTTTAGCTCTACTCTATTTATTCATTCCTTGGCCCTCTTTCTACACCCAACCAATCAACAACAACAACAATAATATATTTAATGCTATACATGTATTTTATTTAAAAATTAAAGTTTATTGAGTTTCATATAAGTCTAGACCTATTTATTTAGCTAGAGGTATTATTTTTACTAATTTAAAATATCTTATTACGAAGTAATCTTTCAAAAATGGGTTTCTATATCAAACTGAGTGTTTTAAAAAGGGTAAATTATTATTTTTTATATATATTAAGTTTGAACCTTAACTTCAAAATCAAAGTCAATATCAAGCCTCACAAAGCTTAATTCAATTCAACTCATTTCCATCCCTAACTCTGAACTTACACGTAGGAAAGAATCTATCACATTGGAAGAAGTAGAGGTCATCATGCATTCATGTGGTAAGCCAACATTGACGTGATAATAATAATAATAATAATAATTCATTTAATACATCTAGTTTCACTCAATTATTCCATCTAATGATTATAAAATGTTGGAGAAAATAGAAAAGTAAATTTCCTTTTGGGTTAAAATTAAAATTCCTTTTGCGTATCGTATAAACACAGTGTCAAAATATACTATCATTGTGATCTTCAGAAACTTTATATATCCTAAATGTAAAATTGATTTTTACATGTTTATTAAGAAGATCGACCCTACGTCCGTGGTGAAATTTGATCAAAACTTTAGATTAAACAAAATTATAAAAAATTCATTAATGTAAAGTTGAAAAAGACACATGCTAATTTTATAATTTTATCCAAATTTAATATAAGACACTACAAAAAGATGCAATATATACTGATGATTAAATATTAAATTTGTCTTTATTACTTATTAATGTAGTATTTATTTACTTAAATTAAATTTTTCAATATAATATAATAACATTATACTAACAATATAATACATCATACTATCAATTTTATAGGATGAAAAATTAATAACTATTACTAATATAATACATTATATTATTAGTATATATAGATAATGGTAATAATAAAATTTAATATTTATACATAAAATTATAAAAACAAAAAAAAATTAAGACCCAATATATTCTTTGTATTTGATACAGGGTCACAAATTTAAAAAGAATGTCTTTTTATATCAACAGTTATAATTATTTTAATATTTTAAAAATTTAAAAATATTTATATTTGTTTATGATAAATCATTAACTCTCAATAAAAAATTGCACAACACTTCTAACAAGTGTTTTTTCATACATTATTATTAAAACTCTTAAATTTTAAAGCTCGGCTAACACTTAAGCCGTTCCTTCTGGTTTAATGTTTATTATAAACACATACAATGTTATTATTAACAATAATATAAAAATGAGTAAGATTGACTTTTCAAGACGCTAATACAGCGAAGGATCAAATTTATACTGTAGTTATTGACAGTGAGCTAGGATTGTTTGATACGATGGCATGAATTTTGTTCTTATTTATTTAATTCAATTATAAATTATATAATTACTATACTTTTTTTAAAATTAATTTTGATATACCATCGTTATAAATATTTTTACACTATACATTGACTAAAATTATTAAAACTATAATTTTTAAATTAATTATCACAGACATTAATGATTTTTAACAATATATAGTAAAAAAATTATATAATTAATATTTTTTTTAATTTAAATTTTTACATTAACTATTTTATTTCAAAATTATCTTTTTTTACTATTTCTTATATAATAATAAAATGTATATATATAATGTATTAATATAATTTCTTTTGAATTTTTTCCTGAATGTAGCTTTAGGCCTTTAACTTATTTGATTGATTAATGGGAGAGTCCATCAATGGTGGATTAATTAGTGGGGACATCTAGATGATTTCGTATGGGTCTCTTTTTATTTGTTGATCTTAATTTTATTTATTTATAATTAATTTATCAAGGGAAATTAACTTCAATTAATTTTGCTTTAAGATTTTCTTTTATTAAATATTATACTTTTATTGAAGAAATTCCAATTCGTAAACAAGTACCTTGCAATAGTAGTTTGTAAAAAACAGCCGAAAAAAGAGTCATTGGGCATATGGTGTAATAACAATATCTTTTAGGTAAACTAAACTATCAGTTATAACATTCCTTCTCATTTGTATGCGTAAACTAACAATAATATTATCTTTGATTTTATTAAATTTTCGAGAAATTTGTTTAACTGCTATTATTATTATTATTATTATTACTACTACTACTACAAGTTTTGTTTAAATTAAATATCAACAATTTTAAAAATATGTTACATAATTACATTTTGAATTAGTTAAATAGCATATTTGCTAATATGTTCTATTTTTTATTTTTAAAACTATATTAATAATTTATTTTTAAAAATATTTTAACAATATAAACAATCTTTAAAATAAGTAAAAATATGTGGGTATTTTTCTTTTAACAATAATAATAATAAGTTAAGGTACGGGATGCTCGGAGGAGGGGTTGGAGATACGGATTTTTGTAGAACACTTTGAAATAAAATTAAGTTAATTGTCATTTATTTAAAATTTAACTCAATTCAATTTCAAGTTAATAAAGTATAAGATAGAATTAGATTTATTTAATATTTTTTACATAATCAATAATTTTTTCTATTATGTGTAGGCGCATAATAGAATTGAAAATGTAAGATATTAAAATTTAAGTTTAGCTAATAGCAAAAAAAAATTTAAGCTTAGCTTAAATTAAGAGTGAAATAATAATAAAAAGGTTATCTAGTCCATTCGAGTTAATTTTTATGAGCGGTGAATTTTACCAAATTGAGAAAAAAATTAAATTTAATTCAGACTTCTAAAAATATATTCAAAATGAGTAAAATTTATTTATTTTTATAATTTTTTTGAGCTTTAACATATTTTTTTTATTGAATTGAATTAAACATGTTTAATTTTAACTGAGATATACTTTTTAGCATATATTGCAAAATTAATTATATTAATATTAGTACAGTGATATATTACGTAAATTTTTTTATATAAATTAAATTTTTGTTGTTAATATATGATTATTAAAAATAAAAAGTTTAAAAGAAAAAATATCATACAAAATTAAGATGTCATAAAGTGTAATTCAACCCCTCTACAAAATATACCGAACCTATTTTAACAATTTAACCCATTAAAATTAATTTCAATTTAGATTAGATTAGTGAAACAAGACAGATGATGAACATTTCAAAGAAAAGGAAAGGGGACAAGTCAATGTTAAATATGCACCCATTGTTGGAAGGAAGCTACTTTAATATTTTTATGGTGTATTACGATGAGAAAAAAATAGAGAGAGAAAAAATCGGAGAGTAAAAAATAAAATAAAAATAGAGTAAAAAATTATTATTTGAATGGATAAAATATAAAATAATAATTTTTTTAGTTAAATGAATAAATAAGAGAATAAAATAAAAAAAAACATGTTCAAAATTATAAAAAAATATTTTAACTCAAAAAATAATTTTTATTTTTCAAAATTTTACTTT